GGGATTCGACGAGTTGCTTAGCCAACTCGACGAGTTAGGGATGGTTTTCCTGTTTTCAAGATCCTGAGTGATTTCAGTGAGCTGATTAAGGGATGTCGGTTAAGAGATATTGGTTTAGAGTTTTTAGCCCTTTGACATGAAGGAACTCAATGAGTTACTCAGGTGACTCAGCGAGTTGACTCGGGATTTCGGTTGTATGGACTCTGAAGGAACTCGACGAGTTGTTGGATGCACTCAACGAGTTGATGTCAACATGGACTGTTAACCTTGACTTTGACCAGGGTTGAGTTTGAGGGTATTTATGGTATTTTGGATTGTGACAAGTTAATCACATGATGATTATAGGCAGTTGAGTTGTAGCTATGCGTTGGGACTTATCTGATCTAATCTTGTCAGTTCAACATTTGTGATACTGGTATGAAAGGCCTCGGGGGTTCCCGAGGCGCTTATGTGTAAGACCTTAGAGGGTTTCCATGGCAATCTAGTATATTTGCATGTGTGGTTTGTATGTTTTCTTGGTAGTAAAAATTGTGTGGGGGTTCCCATGGCAGGAAGACCGTGTGAGTGTTCCCACGGCAGGAAGACCATGTGGGGGTTTCCATGGCAGGTAGTTAAGAGCACGTGGGGGTTCCAGTGACACTAGGTGTAAGACCCAGGAGGTTTACATGGCTTCCTTATATGTTTGTATGCATGACTTATGTGGTTTATGTAGCTTTTGTAGCTAATATGATTATGTGATTATGTGGATTATGTGTGGTATGCACTAGGGAACTCACTAAGCATTAGCTTACAGTTTGTGAATTTGTTTTAGTTACATCTGAGTCTAAGGAAAATGACAATGCTTGATGACGCGACGTGCACTCTCTCTCAAACGTTTTTATGGGACACTATGATGATTGGAATAATATTGTTGTTGTTATGAATTTCAAAAACTATGTACTTGAGACTTAATGGTTTATGGGAAATATTTTTGACTATTTAAAAATGAAAATTTTCTTTTGAAAATTGGTTCATTACGGACGTTGGTTTCCTCGATGTTTTCTTGTTATGAAATTGATATTAGATAAAATAAGAAAATAAATTAAGGGCATGGATTATGCCTCATACTAATTGTTTATAGATATTAAATAATATAATACATACATCTACATTTTGAGCCATAAGCATAACCAAATGAATTGCAACATGTTAAGAAGGGAATTAATTTTCATTTATTAGCATTGCACTTTAGTTCATTTTCTAAGATAAACAAAATAAAATAAATTATAAGATGAAGTTCTCGCAAGTTGTCTTTTTATTTTTATTTTCCAAAAAAAAAAACATAGACAATTTTTGAAACAACATTTTAATAATATAACACTTAAGCTATGATGATATATAATAATAATAATAATAATATAACACTTAAGCTACCACAAATCATTAATTTCTATAATTTTGGACTTATTATTACCAACAAAATTAATTTGGACTCAACGATGGTGAAAGTTTTAGAAATTAATTAAGGTAAGAATGGTGAAGCTTTCAGACTAAGCTTAAAAGTCGTAAATATCAAGCTTTTGTTAATGTTTTAGACTATATTACATTGGATATATTTGTATCACTTAGAAAAACTTTAAATTATTACTAATGTCGATGTTCAAGGTTCCAATCACGATGTGCAACAACTTGAAGAAAATTCGTTCTAATTTCTTTTGCGGGGCGGAGTCAATGAAAAAAAAGCTTCGCTGGATTAAAAGGGACCTAATTTTAAATGACAAGGTGCATAGCGGTATGTCATCCTTTAATTTAGCTTTAGTATACAAACGATATGGGCGTTTCTTAATTAGTTATCCAAATTTACTTTGGGTAAGATTAACTAAAAGTTGTTATGAGATTGATGGTGGTTTAAAAATTGGGGGATGGTTCGTCAATTAAGTTCTAGACTAATATCTGGTGTGGAAATATACATTTTTGTTCTCGGTTTCCTCGATTGTTTGCTTTGGCTACGGATCGGATGACATGGGTTTCTAATTACCTGATTACAGTTCCTATATGGAGTCGTTGGATTAGAGGTGGAGCAGCAGATCATAGAGATCATTTTTTTTGTTACTTAACTCGGCTAATTTGGGTTCTGGTGCAGATACTTGGAATTGGTCTTGCGGATACTTGGAAATGGTCTTTGGACAATTCTGGTTTCAGTCAGCTCTTTGAGATTGTATTTGGATGTGAGGATGCTCCACTATGGTGGATACTAAAGTATGAGTATAACTTAGTGGCGGCGTGGTGTGGGACTTCAAAAAATCTAACTATAGGAAACGATATGAAGAGAATTGGATTTTGGGAAGCCATGCTCGGAAAATTTCACACTTATGAAGAGACCAGGATATCACAATGTCGATATGGTTAGTGGCAAATAGACTCCAATTAGTTGTAGGTACACCAAGTTTAATGCGATTTACAATAAACCTTCTTCGCAAAATCAAAGCGGTGTGAATGATTTCGATGTGTTCAAAGCTGCAATGGAGCAATATCAAGTCGAAATGGGTCACATTTTTTAGTATGACAAAATATGGGAGATTGTGAGAGTTGATCCAAAATGACTTAAAACTCCAACATCGTTGGAGGTAGAATCAAAGAGGTCTTGCAATTCGAGTTCGTTTGATGTTTCCGATATACGGATTAACATCGACCTCAATGCCAACACGGATGACAATCCCTCTAAAGAAGAGACAATGGAAAATAGATCTAAAGAAGAGGCAAGTAGATGAGAAGGCAGAAATCTTAGAAGAAAGAGCCATCCGACGAGGAGACATAAGCAAACGATGCAGTAGAAGAATCTAGGGTAAGACCTCTAATTTGGTGTCGACGATTGTTTTATTATTTAAGAGGAGAAAAAAAAAAACAAACGAAGAGAATATGAAGCATAATGAAGGCACCTCCGATGACTTTGAGCGGATGCCATTAGAGGTGGAGGGCGGTTGTAGAAGGTTGTGGTCAACGGTAAGATTTTAACATAGATCTCTAATACCATGTTATATAATAGATTGTTTGATTCTTAAAAAACAATTACATAAAAATATATATAGTATATCTAAGGTCTAATGGCTAAATCTAAAGGGTCTTGGTCTAAACCTAATCATTAACAATGTTTAATTTATGATTTAATTAAATTGTATGTCTTATTTTTTTTCTATAAATATTATAACTTTAATAGAAAAAATAACAAATTAGAAAAATAGAAAATAAATAAATCGAAAATAAACAAATTGAAAAAAAAAATCAAAAAAATAAAAAAATAAATAAGTAATGATGACATAGAAATTAATAAATGTTATAACATTTCTCACTTGAGATGTTATAAAACCATATATAATATAACATGTGATGTGATATATATATATATATATATATATATATATATATATATATATATATATATATATATATATATATATATATATATATATATATATACCCCTTGATTTTTTTTGTTAGAAATAATCCATTTACATTAATTTTATACATAATAGGATAAAAATACAAAATTTTAACTATGACCCTCCTCTATTCATCAATTTTTATTCATAATATATTTCCGATCCCAATCAAATATTGAATCTCCACCACTCTTATCCACTCAATTCGTTTTACACAATACTAACCAAAGTTAAGTGACAAAAGATTTAAGTTATGGATAGTTGATGGATCATTATCACTTATCCACTCATTTCGTTTTACACATCAACTTCACTATATTAGAATTTGGTAGATGTTGACAATATTCAAACACAAACATTAACAAAAACTTTACACTCACCGAGCTAAAAAACTTTTAGCGAGCATATATACTGCGATTGCATTTTCTCTTTCACAAAACATATATCCTTTTTTAATATCAAGTATATAATGACAATATATCGTTAGCATAAACTATGGATGCTTTTTGAGATTCCCAATCATTACAAAACAAATTTAAATAATTAAAAGAAAAACAATAAGAAAAAGAAAAGTGTGTACTTGTAAATTGTAAACAGTAAACGCATTTAATCGTGCTTTATGACCAAAGGAAATTTGTATTTGTTTGGCATTGATTTGTCGTCGGTTTATATGATATAATAAAGTAAAGGAAAACATCCTTTGAACCCAAAAAGTGTCGTTGAATTAACCATTTGCTAAGACTATGGAAATACACATAGTTTAATGTAGTAATTTGTAAAGTGCATGGACAAAACGATAAATGTATCAAATAACACCTCTCCCGAATCAACCTATTGTATCGCTTGGACTGGTTTCATCCTCCCTCTGGCCTCCACCAGTAACAATGCCTTTCTTCCAAAATATTATTTATCAATATTAATATATTATATATTATCCTAGAAATTAATTATAATTAAATAACACAATAGACATTTATCTTTTTTTTTTTTTGGAACAACAAAATCTATTGTCTAATATATACTACTGATATAAAGGATGCCATTAAAACTCCTTGGATATTGATTTGAAACTTATTTTATTGAATATTTCCTAAATTAATAATAATTATTACAATATTTATAAATTTATAATAACCTTTTTTGTTCCTACTTATACATATTTTATTATTATAAAACGGATCAATCATTTTAGTAAGCATACCCATACACAAATCACATGGATATATATATATATATATATATATATATATATATATATATATATATATATATATATATATATATATATATATATATATATATATATATATATTAAAGTCTTCATATTTTCATCGATTTGATACGAAAATCCTAAACTAATTTTTTTGACACTAAAATCTTAATTACTGGCAATTATTGACACGATTGCCATTTTTTGTCGGTAACTCATTTAATAGTCGGTAATCGAGCTGATGTGGCTACTAACGTTTACCTAGAGGGTGACTCAACACGAGTACATCATTAAATGAAGAAGGGTTAATCAAGAAGGAAAATTCTCTCTTTCTAATGCGATGATTCTAGGGTTTTTACTATGTGGGAGATATGAGTTCGAGTCTGAAGAAGATACGAGTTGGAGCCTTGAAGATGGAAGGTGTGTTGGACTTTGACACAATCGACATGGAACTAGATGAAGACCTTCTAAAGAAACATATTAGGAAATGTATAGATGAGTTCTTGAACTCACTGTGTCATGGCGATGAAGATGAAGACTTCATAATCCCTTTATTTGAGAATGTTGAAGATGATGAAGCACCTGTGGTAGAAGAACCTTTGGATGAGGAACGGGAGGAGGAGGAAAATGTAGATGAAGTTGTGGATGAAGGGGAAAATGATAGTGAGGTCGAGTTTAAATATTCCACCTATGATCCAAACGTGAAATGGAATAAAAATGAAACCTCTAAAGGGAGAAAGGTATGAATCTCCACAACAACTTAACTCTGTTTAACAAACCATGCCATATCTAAAGGTTATCACATTAAGTTAAATAAATGTGATAGTTTTAGACTACATTATGTGTGTGTGCTAGTGATCTTGAGAAATTCCTTAAAGAATTGATTAAGACGCTGATGTGTGTAAATTCAACTAGTTTTATCTCTATTTTTTATTAATAATTTGAGCACACAAAGGCAGTAAACCTGTCTTTAAGTGGTATAGATTGATAAGTGAGGTATCGAACTCAGGGAACGGACAATTAAACTAATAGCTAATTTTAACTAAAACAAATAATAAAAGTAAAGGGTTTTTCTCTAGTTTTGCAAGACTAGAAACTTAGACAAACTTAATTAACTAATTAATTAAAGCAACAACTATTCACCAAATTTGATAAAGATGTTTCTATTTAGGTTCAACCAATTCACTCCTATGGTTATTTAAGTTAAGTAGATTAATTGCTATTGGTTACCAATTATAATAGTTAGGTTCATATTCATTACTCCTAACCCTTAGACAATTAACTAATTTAAGCGTTGATCAAGTGTTTAAACTAATTAATTCCCTAGATTAATTATTTGGATTAAATAAGATTTGTAATGGTTAATTAAGTTATTAATTCAATTAACCTCTTGTTGATGGTTTCTCAAACAAGCTCACACATTAATCTTCCTATTTTCTTATTAATCTTAGTTTCATAATCATTACTTCTAAGCATATGTTTTAGCATTCACATAGACATATGAGGTTAACAATTAAGTGATGTTCATGCAACCTAATTGCCTTCCAATTAACAGAAAATAGTAGTGATTAATACATAAGGTTCTTTAACAAACTTAATTTAATAAATCACCAATAGACAATTAAGCAAAAATTAATAATTAAACCATAGGAGTTCTTTGGTATTCCCCAAACAGAAACAAAAACGAATTTAGCTCATAGTTGCAGTAGAAACAAACACAAAAACAAAGTTTATTAAAGCAAACATGTTTAATTCCTAAGTCTAAGTGGTAGAATTAACCTAATTGCTTGAATTCTTCCAACTCTTGAAGCTTAGGGTTCCTTAGCGCCTTCTGAACCTTTTAGTCGCAGCTAATCCTTCAAAAATCGCCAGGAATCCTTCCCATGGATAAGGATTCGTCTTTTATAGATATCCCAAAACAGGGGGTACTCGGCGAGTAGCAGAATCAACTCGCCGAGTAGGTCCATACTTATCCGTCTTGAATTAGCAGTCGTATTTATCTTCTGGCATATCGTCGTGTACTCGCCGAGTAGGGTCGATCTACTCGCCGAGTAGAACTCCTTCTTTCACTCTTTAATCTTCACTTGCTTTCCTTTTCTCCTTTTTGCCTCCAAGCATATCTTTTGGACTGAAAACACAATTCACAACATTTTAAGTACCTTTTGTCCACATTATTCACATAACTAATCAAAAATAACTAAGAATATATGTTAAATAATTAACTAATTATGCACATATCAAAATACCCCACACTTGACTTTTGCTTGCCCCCAAGCAAAACTAAATTTTAAACACATTAAAATCACATTAATAACTCCAATCCAACCCAGCCATTATGCCAAGACCGCAACGCATGCATTTGTGTCTAAAATTCCTAAAAACCCCCCATACTTCAAATACTCACAATCCTCATAAACATTCGCCCACTCACCCCGAACTATGCTCATTTTATGCAACCCTCCGAATCCATCCTCAGAAAATCTCTTTACCCTCAAGGTATTTTTAATTGAGCAACCCAAGCATACATATTCTAGAATTACAACTTTTCGATACCACTATGGAATTCTTTGAATTCTTCACTTTCTTGATAATTTGATCTTGGATATCTTTGAATTCACCAACTTGTATTGACTTTTGGTATCTTCAACTTTTTGGATTTCTTGGAATTTTGATCTTCAGATCTTCACTTCATTTGCTCCAAAATTCCTATAACTTTTCTAGCAATTCTTTTTTTTTTTTCATGTATTTCTCAATATATTTTTTTCACTCAAATCCCTACATGCTTAAGCAGGGGCGCTCAATCTCAACCTTTATTGGCTAATGATAAAAACTTTCCTGGATACATTTCAGGTTTAGGCTGCTAAACATATTGCATCCCTCAGGCTGAGCAAGGTCGTGTTTTTGTCTCATGATTTCACTGAAATAAGGAAGCCACAAATGCACTAGAACGTGTATAGGCTCAACTAAACATTTGGGTTCTCATGCAATTATTAACACAATTCTAATATGGAATCCTAATTTTTACCAAAATTTTCTAATTTAAGACCTAAGCATTTTTGATATGCAACAAATTTTTTAAAAATTAGCCTAAATTAAGATTCTAAGTGTTCTAAGATGTGACTAACCCCCTACCCCACACTTATTTTATGCAATGCCCTCATTGCATATTATAACAACTAAAAAAAATGCAAATAGAGAGAAAGTTGGAACAAACTCCCCTGGGGTAGCAGTCGCTAGGTTGACACTCTCTTCTTCAACTCCTTCTTCTAGTGACTTTAACCATGGGAACAGCTCATCCATGGCACGGGCGTCATACGTCTCGTGTGGTTGATAGCTCGAAAACTCCAAGGAAAAAGGGTTGTTGCACAATCCTCAGTAGTAATTCATAAAGAGTGTATGAATGGCGCAGAAAAACTAGCCAGAACAAATCAGAAACTCCTCCTGCAGCAGGCTACTCGGCGAGTAGGTGATCAAACTCGGCGAGTAGAACTCGATTGGCAAAGTAGTTCGTGCAAAAGCAGATGTACTCGCCGAGTAGTATTAGTGCACTCGGCGAGTAGAGCTTATATTTCCAGAGTTTTATGAACCGCTGTCTCTCTTTACGCTAGTGTTGACATGGAAATATAAATGTACTCTCCTGTGAACTTCCTAAGCAGCAACACTTCAATAAACTCTCGATTCGTACGGACTCAATCCTAGGAACAAGACTCCATAATCACTCATAAAGACTCTCATTCCTCTCTTGACCCTTCCTAAATAGCATGCTTCCTAGCTTCAATACCTGAAAAGAAAACTAAAAGTAACACTAATATTCCAACCACATAGCCAAATTCAACATGTCCACAATTGTCTTAAAACAAACATCATAACCAAACAAAACAAAATCAAATAAAATCTTCATTCTTCCTCTTCCATCCCGGCTCCTCCAGCTCCACTACCTCCTTCTCCACCCTTCTTCGCATCCTTTCGTCCCAATCCATAATGTAAGGGTAGCCGGGTCCCGGTCGCGGGTCAATATGCATTTGTTGGAAAAGATACTCGAAGGATTGATTGGTGTAATTAACCCCTCGCCCTATATCATCCAAGTAGTTTCGATACTCCACTTGGTTCCATCCCTCGTTATCCTCCACCGGAATAACCGGTGGGTCTTCTCGTACCCGCTCGCTCCTTGGCCTAACCCGCCTTCCCGGCTCCTCGGGGACCGCCGGCTCATCCTCATTCGGGATTGTAAAAGAATCACCAAAATTTTCAACTATCCGAGCCCTCCTATAAAGTGCAGTGTTGAACGGAGGAGGGTGGATAATCGTTAGCTTTTGAGCTTGCGGCAATTCCAAGATCCCAAATGATCTCGCAAGCCGAGTAATGAACATGCCCCCATTGATCTTCGAGTTGATCTTCTCCTTAACCGCTCCCTCCGCAAGAAATTTAGCAATGCAGTACGGGAGGTTGCAGAAGACATCGGGAGTGATGATACTCTACAAGTAAAAGATATCAAGGGTGGGAACTTTGTGCCCATCCTTCCGCATGTTGATCATGCTTGCAATGAACCGGTGAATGAGTCGATGGATTGGAGAACGGATATGACATTCTTGAGCAGTGGAAGGTATGTAGACCCGGTTAGCAATTGTACTCCACCATGTCGACGCCACCACCCCCTCGGGAAGTTCTTTGTAGGTATTCTCCAAGAAGGCTTCAAAGTATTCCGTCATCGACATGTCTTGATCGTAGATGCCTAACCGCCAAGAGAACTCAACCATGCTGCATTGTGGCAGCTCTCCTCCCAAAGAAAACGAGATCGTGTTTGGATTGTAATACTCACTACCACCTCAGAATGAAATGGTAGCAAAGAATTCCCAGCACAACTCCGCGTATACTGGCTCTTGGATTTTAAACAATTGCAACCAACCATCACAAGTGATGTTGGCATAACCCAAGTTACAATCTTTCACCAAATATGGAGTAAGTTCCTCTTCCAAGCCGACATTGCCCATCCATCCCCAATCCACTGCATTGGGCAAGTGGATTTCTTTCTGTCGCAGCGCTTCCAACCTGTTTAGGGCTCGAGTTTTGGAGGATTTGGAGGTGATTTGTTGAAAGGCTAACCATGGCATATCACCATGGCCTCCTCCACGTGATGACTGTCCTCTCCTTGCCATGCTATCTGCATAAACATACCAAAAACACAGCAACAAACAACACCCCATAATTAAAACAGGAAAATTTTTGATCTTATTGGGACCTACTCGCCGAGTACACGAACATACTCGCCGAGTAGTATGAACTTTTTGACAGATCGAGATCGGATCTGTGTAATCTGTGTAATAGTCCAATTTGTTCATAGGGTTTTGTTGTAATTACTTATCTAACCATAGATCTTGAAGAAATTACTCCAAACAACCTCTAATTCATGAGTAAATCAAAGCCCTAAAAATTGGGAAAAACTCCCCAAATCCGAAATCATAACAAATATGGGAAGATATGTGATAAAGATTGGACCTTTCATAAAATTAAAGGGTAAAGATGTTACCTTGGTGCTTGAATGAAGAGAAAGAAGAAGAAAATTAGAGAGATCTTGAAGAACACTTAGAGATGCGGCTGAGAGGATATGCTCGGCGAGTGTGGGGATGAATTGGTGAGTAATAATAATTTTTACAGGTTTTAATTTACTGGGTTTGAACCGGCTACTTGCCAAGTAGAATGGATCTACTCGCCGAGTAGACACGTGTGTTATCGACTTTTGGCTGTA